CGGTAAGCTCCGTTTGGACCCTTCTGCCAGCCCTGGCCCTGCTCGGACTCATCTTGAAGGAGTGTGGGGAATCGTGCCTTTTCCTGCGGAGCCCTCCTTTCTTACCTCTTCCAAATCCTTACCTCCAGCCCTAATCACAGAAGACACGTTTTACCTTATTCTTTCGTGTTCCACTTTCCCCTCTTACGGGAAGGTTTTCCATTTCCGTGAGGCATCTGTGATTATCTCTCAGGCCTTCTTGCAGTAAACCCCATTTCTGATTCTCAGCCCTCGGTTTACCATTTCTTGATGGTCTTTCTGGATCAGATTCTTCCACATTTATAAGCCTTATTCATGTTTGACCCTCAATTATTTGGAAATCTTGTAAGGAAGAGAAAGCAATAGAGAAAACCAAATGCTTATCAAATTGAGGATCAGTCATTCTTATCTAAGAACAATGCAAGTTATTTTCTCAAAATTTATGATGAAATTTCCAGTATAAGAAATACTGGAAGAGAAACTCCTTTGCCAGCTTTTTTCTCTGAATATGAAAGTGCCTTTTATTTTCACTGTAACTTGTTTGTTTCTTATCTGTTTGTAATGTGTATAGCCATAGCTCTTGCTCTACAGGTATAGGCTTTATTGTTCTGAAAATCAGTTTAGTAACTGAGGAGAGTAAGTACTGTTATACATGTAACCTTTTCAGATTTTTTAGAGCTGTTTCCTGTCATGTTTTCCTTGTCTTAGTGTTTTTATATTTAGATCAATCATTACTTTAGATCATATCTGATGATGTATGACATATAAGCTAAAAAATGTAAGGAAAAAACCCCTGCAGTTTTATGACATCTGTTTCTAATAGGGTGTTCAGGAATTGCTGTTTTAAAAATATAGTGGTAGAGCATGGATTGTGAATTGAGATTCCATGACTGTAAATCCCAGCTCCACCAAACTTTTTGCCTCAGTTTCTTCATCTATAAAATAGAGATTTAAAACTTTTAAATGCGGATTGCAACATTTCCTACCTTATACGGTAGTGTGAGGACTCAATGAGATAATAGAGGTAAACTGTCTAGGGTGATGCCTAACCCATACTGAGATCTAGAAAATGTTTGCTGCTGTTATCATTAGTTAACGGAAAGTGTGCTTGTTGAAGGAAAGACATTTCTTGTCTTGTGCAGGAGTTTCCACTGGCAAATGAACTTCATGAAGCCCTGTTCTCCTGCAGTGCTTCACCCCCATGTCCTGCCATATAAAATAGAGATTGAGGGAAGATCTACAGCAGATGGCCCCATATGCTCTCTGACATTAGTTGGCATGAAATGTGCACAAAATTGCAGATTGTACCAGCTATTTTACGAGAGTAGCCACTTTTGAGTAGTTGCTCTTACACATTTAATAATTTTCAGGAGTAATTTCTAGTTCTTATTTTTGTATTTGGAAATTATCAAAACAAAGGTGATTTTAATTAAATTTATAACATGATAGCAATTCAGATCTTTTAGCAAAACAGATAAATACATTTCCATAAAAAATGATGGGTTGTCATCATTCCAAAAGTTTAACAGTATTTTTCAATTTGCAGACTTGTTAGAGGCTTCAGACTGGGACTATTTTTGAAAATTTGAGACCCAAGCCTTTCACATTGCAACTCGTGTGTTTTTTCTTTCTGTTTTTTTTCTTTTCCCTGATGGCTTTTTTGTTATTGTTTGTAATATCTGTGCTTCCAGAATCTCTGCTTTAGTTCATGAACTAAAGCATAAAGTATAAAGATTACATATAAGTACTATATAAGGTTATATATTATAATAACCTATGATGGGAAAGAATATGAAAAAAAATGTACATAATTGAATCACTTTGCTGTATACCTGAAGCTCACACAACATTGTAAATCAACTATACTTCAATTTAAAAAAAAGTTATATGCAAGTGTAAAGCATAAGTATAAAGATTATACACCTATAGGGAATGGAATACACACATTTATTTTGAAACAAATCTTTTCCTCTGTGTTGAAAATAAAACTCTTGGAAATGTACTATTTTTATTTCCGTGGTCCATTTAGCTGCATTTCACTCCTTCCAAGCCATGGAAATATAAACACTTAGCAGCTGAAAAATTCAGGCTAACTATGTTTGTTTCTCACAGAGTTGTTAAAGTCAGTATGAATGATCTGTAGGGTTTTGGTAGTTGTAAAGGAATCAATTATCTTACAGGAAACCCCTAGCTGACTCTTAACTTTACTGCAGAAACTTAGTGTAAATGTTACAGGGATTGCTTGTGAGGCCTGAATATAAGTGCATTAAGTGGTGAGTGGGCATGGTGTCTAAATAGGCAAGTACAGTGTGTGTCATCAAGTCTTAAAATATCTTGTTATCTGAGGTGTTGGTAAGAAGTTTCTGTTATGTAGTTGTTCTTTCTGCCTCTGTTCTCCCCTTCAGTCTGTCCTTCACACCCTGGCAAATTATTGTGAAAATAGCACTGCTCACATTGCTGGATTGCTCAAAAACTAAATTATTTAGAGAATAAAGTCCAAACAATTTTGATATTCTGCGTTCTCCTAGTCCCCTTTCCAATCTGTTCTCTATTTCAGCCAGCCTATTCCGCTTATTCTCAAACATGTCACATGTATTCCTGTCTTCATTTTTTTCACCCACCATTTCTGTGATTGGTATTTTTTTCCTTTCTTCATTCACTTAAGATCTAACCATGCTTTAAGGCCAAGCTCATGTCCTAGTTTCTCTTCAGAGGTTTCCCAGGTGGTTTGCTTTTTACTCTGAGTTTCTTTTAGTTATTCTCTCTTTACCACTCATTTAGTACTCATATTACAAGATTGCATGTATGCAGATTTATATACATATGTATATATTTAATGAGAAACCAATTTTATTAATTTAAATATATGAAGACTTCTAAATTCTACAAGAAAGGAAAAAACTAAAATAATAAATTTGTAAAATCTGTGAGCATACAGATCACAAAAGAAAAAAGGAAACATACTGGGGACAATTCTTCAACTGCATCAGGAATCAAATAATATAGGTTAACAATGTCACCATTTCTGCCTTTCAGATCAGCAAATCGTGTTCTATAAAAATTGTCACGTGGATAATACATTTTCATCTAATAAAAGAAATATTAAAAATAAAAATGCCTCAAAAAGTAATGTAAAATCACTTGAAATTCAAACATGCAGAGATATTCACTGTTTACATTTTGCTATATCTGCTTTCAGATTTTTTTCTGTACACACATGTATAAATTTGTGCCTGCATGTAGAAATACACAGAAGTATCACATATATTTTCCTAAAACTTGCTTTGCTTTCACTTAATATACTGTGAATATCTTTTCATGTTAACATATATTTGCACAATTATTGTTAATAGCCATTTACAATCCCAGTGTAATAACAAATATATATAACAAAACCTCTTTTAGATATTTTATAGTTGTTACAGTTTGTTCCTGTTACAGAGAATTCTTCAAGGGACAGTTTTCTACGTAACATCCCCCCTGCCCCAGTTTTATTGAGATATAACTGACATACAGCACTATGTAAGTTGAAGGTGTACAGCTTGATGACTTGACTTGCATACATCATGAAATGATTACCACAGTAGGTTTAGTGAACATCTATCATCTCCTATAGATACAACATTAAAGAAAAAGAAAAAATATTTTTCCTCATGATGCGAACTCTTAAGATTTACTGTTTTAATAACTTTCAAATATAATGTGCAGCAGTGTTAATTATCGTGTTGTACATTACATCCTTAGTGCTTATTTATTCTATGACTGTTGGTTTGTACATTTTGACTGCACATATGCATATATTTTAATATATTTTAAATATACTTACATATATTGTGTGTGGAGGGGGTTTTCATTTGTTTTTTTAGTTCCTCAAGGGTTTACTGGTATACCCTTCGGGAAGGGACACATAAGATAATGACACATTTAGTCTGTGTTTATATGTTTGTCATTGAAGTAATACTGTATTTGACCTATTAGCAATATTCTGCACAGTTGCCACTTGATTTTTTTTAAACGCAGTTTAAATATGATATTGAGAGATACTTTGGCAATTGTCAGAGGTGGTCCTCAAAGACATTCTTCTCTTGTTTGTGTTTTATGAGACTAAATTTGTCGTTTAAGCATCATCTACTACATCATGGTACTTGCCTTCTTTCGTAAAAGTATTCTCTGGCTTCTGTCTGAAGCTTCATGAAAAAGTATCAGACACCTGCTATTGGAGACAACCTTAAATAATCTGGATGGACTAGACATGGGTGGTGGCTTTTGCATTTTAGGGTGATCAGTAGTTGTGAAACAAGAGTGGGAGATGAGGCTTATCAAAATAGTTTTGAAATTTAAGGAATTATTTTTAATTATCTTCTAAAGAAAGAATTTCAGTTAAACAATATATGACTGAAAAAGATGTGTTCTGATTATTACTTAGTTTAGCAAGGTTTTGAGATCCTCTTGGTACAAAGGAAAATTACTTCATACGTTTCATGTTGAGCACTTGTAGTTGACACAGGAATATTGTTGAAGAGTTATAATTTCCCTCTGAAATTTTTTTGTCTCTTCTAAGCCAGTATAAATGCCTATTTAATGGCCTATTTTTTGTTAGTTACATTAAATATATTTGGGAGATGGTATTTGAACACTTTCATCTCTTGTGTACTCTATGATATGATGTGATATGATACTTCCACATTAGTGAAATATCCCAAATCTACGTCGTCGGACATGAGATTAATATAACACATTACTCTATGGAAACTTTTTGTTGAGTCATCAACTACCTTTTTGTAGCTAAACACGATGTATACTTTTAAATTCTTACCGTACTGGCTTCTTTATAACACTGTCCTCTCTGTTGATCATTTCTTTCTTAAACCCATTCTTCTCTTGCCTTCCCACTTCCCCTACGTCCGTGGCTCTTCCTGTTCGGTGTCCTTTCTCGCGGCTCGTCTTCACCTGCTTGTCCCTTCAATGTCAGCGACCCTTGAAGCTGGCCCCTTGGCTTTCTTCTGTCCCCACGCCGTCTGGTCTCTGTCTGTACAGTCTGGATGCTGGCGGTTTTCCTGCCTTGCTCTCCAGCCTTACCCTCCCCTCTGAGCCATTCATTCAGTGATTGTTGAGCTACCCTTGTGCGCCGGGCATCGTTCCAAGTGTTGGGATACAGAGTTGAACAAGACATCGCGTTTTCTTGAGGAAGGCAGACTGTAGCCATGTAAGTAATTTCAGACAGCATTTATTACTAGGAAGGCACTAGGCGCTGGCAGAGACCGAGTAGCCCTGAGGTCTTGGTGAAGCTCAGGTCTGGTTGAACTGTCTCCCTGCGGAGTGGAGCTTCCTTTCTCGGCCGCTTGGTGTCCTCAGAGTGCAGTCCCGCTCCTTTGACTTTGTTTGCCCCCAGTGGCCTCTCCATTCTCACTTCCAGCCACTCCCCACTCCCCCCTTACATGGTCAGCCTCAGGCGGACTGGACTGTGTACAGGGCTGAGCATCAGTGTTTCATGTTCTGTTGCTTCTAATTTCTGGCATGAGTTTTCTGTTCGGTGTCATATTCCTTTTCTTCCTCACTCCCTGACTGCTTGTTCTTCAGGCATGAGCTGAGATGCCACCTCTGGGAAACCTTTCATGACACGTGCAGGGCTGGGCTAATAAATCCACCAGTCCCCATCCATCTTATTTTAGTACAACTGAAGTCCTGTGTTACCTTCAGTGTTTCACCTCAGTGTCTAGCTGGCATGTAAGGCACGTGCAGACATTTAAATATTAAGAATTGTATTCATTAAAGTTAACGAATAAATGTTCTAAATGAAAAGAAACTTACATCAATTACACATACATTTTTAACCTAAATTATAGGAGAGCTATGCCATTTTTGGGCCAGGACTGGAGATCTCCTGGATGGAGCTGGATTAAAACAGAAGACGGCTGGAAAAGATGTGAACCCTGGAGTGAGGGACTTGAAGGAGAGAATGACCGGTGTGGCGCCAGCCACGGCACGTGAGTCGCAGCTCAGCAGAGCCACACCGTCCCCGCCTGACTCTTACGGCTTCACCTGTTGGAGCCCATGACTTACTGCTTGGCTGGGAGTCCCCCCCCGCACCTGCACAAGGCTGGTGTAAGGAAACAAGTTACTAGCCACAGTCTGAGCCTGGTAGATCGCCTAGTGCCCACACACAGATGCTGCCGTCTTCTTTTTCATTTGAGACGTTTAACCCTTACAGTAGTCCGAGAGATAGGTATTATTCTTATTAACCTCCCATTACAGCTGAGGAACCCGAAGGAATTAAAAGATGTAGTTTTGGCGGCCTGCGTCAGAGGCCCATGGTGACAGTGGCTTGCGCGAGACAGGAGTATAGTCTTCTCTGTCAGAGGCCTGAGTTGATGAGGTGGCCTTTAGCTCTGCCATCCCCAGAGGGTAGCCTCGTCGGCGGGGTTCAGGGTGGAGTTCTGCCCCCACCTCCGCGTTGTGCTTGGCAAGGTAGAGGAGGAGGGTACCTGTGCCAAACCTCACCGGCTGGAGTGGGAGCTGCAGGGCAGGCTGGGGGTTGTGGTCTTTCTCCAGATGAAAGTAGAGATTGCATGGATGCAGGAGCAGGCCCGCGTGGCCGTGGTGTGCTCACCCGCGATCCCCGTCACAGGTGTATTTGAGCATTTGGAGGCTTGGGGAGGTCTGCAGACCTCTTCCTCCAAAGTGTCACGGGTCTAGTCATCCATTTTACTGCATGCGTTTATCTCACATTTGCGTAACTATCAATTGTGTATTTCGAACTGACAGGTCATCTGTTTTTCTGTTAGGAATTTGGTACCTTTAGACTGGAGATTGGGGTTTGCGGTATTTAAAGCAGGAATTAATTTTATATTTAAGATTATAGGAAGGATAACACAGTGTTCGTTGAATTTATATTGTGGCATTTCTCTGCCATTCTGAATTCTAAAATGTCAGTTTAAAAAAAGCTGTAATGCATGAAATAGAATGTTACTGCTACTTCTACACTAAGGAATTTGCATGTGTTTTTTTCCTCATGTATTCTTTATTTCCCCTCATTCCAAACATGTTGTGAATATCGAAGAATACTTTTGTCTCGTCTATTCATAGAATTAGAGAAATACAATCAAGACCTGTTTTCTTTGCATGATAAACTCCATGTTCTCCTGTCTCCCTTTCCCCCTTCCCCACAGACACTCCCACTCACCCACTCCTATTCACACTTATTTGAAAATCCTTTGAAATGTAAGTGGTGCTGGCAGAGGCCTCTCTGTGTGGGTGTCCTCACAGGGACAGAGGCTGTGTCACAGCAGCCGTGGACTCTCCACCACAGGTGGAGTGAAGACACCTTGCTCCCATCCAGGTGCCTCGCAAGGCTGGGCGCCTTCTCTTTATACAAATGGCATATGTAATTACCAACCTTACATAAACTTTACAAACAGGATGGGACCGTGGGCAACTCACTCACTGCCTGCCAGGGAACGTGATGGGACCGTTGTAAATGAATTGTTCTCAGACCCTTGCAGTTGGACTTTTAGTTTTCATCTTTATTAAGTTCATCCTGAATCTTTATCAGCTTCATCCAGAACACACAAAGATGTGTGGATCAGAGATGTTTTTATTAATTACCTTCTGTGAACGGAGAGAGTGTTGGTCTTCGCAGCCCAGTGCTTACTCCAGACCCTTCACAGTGAGGGACCAGGAGAAGGTGACTTTGCTTTGCTTGTCCACAGAAAGGATGTGGCTGTCCCCTCCTCTCCAGAGGGGGCTCCTTGGAAACAGAAGGAGCCTGAGTCCTGCCTGTGCTCCTTTGGTGTGTAGATAAATCCCTCCATGAGCCAGACCTGAGATGCCTCTGGTTTTGTGATTACACATGCTGTTGTATGTGCTCAGTCTATACCGTATGTCAGGCATTTACTGTGTATTCCCAGTGCTGGGATCCAGCAGTAAACAGAAAGAGGCAAAACCCATGCCTGGAGGAGCTTGCATTCTAGTGGGACAGTCAGACAAAGGACAAAAGGAGCTCCGTGTGGTCTGTTCCATGTCTTAAGTGCTGTGAAGGAAAAAACCTGGGGTGAGAGGGAGGACCGTTGGGGTGGGGGTGGTACATGGAAGTGTCGCGGGGGGGCCTCTCTGAGAAGGGTCAGCTGAATGACACCTTGGGCACCGAGAGGGCGGCCCAGGTGGGGAAGGGAGAGCAGAGACCCCGAGGCAGGTGTCATGAACTCGGGAGCAGCGGGGACAGCAAGGTGGGTGGAATGAGGGGCAGCAGGGGACCAGATGCCAGCGTGGCCATGGCCGGTCATGAAGGGCCAGATGGGTTTTCTCAGAGCTAGACGGGTCAGTGGTTTGGAGCAGAGAGAGGGGGCTTTTGTTCAGGTCTGTGTTTTAACAGGCTCCTTCTGGCTTTTTTGTTGGAAATGGGCTGCAGAGATGTGAGGCAGAGCAGATAGACTCATTCCTAAGAGCCTGTGTAATGACCCAAGTGAGAAATGACTGTGGCTCAGAGAGGATAGAGGTGGCAGGTGATGAGAAGTACTCAGATTCAGATGTTTTGCAAGTGGAGCTGGTAGGTTGCTGAGAGGTGGAGTGGGTGGGCAGTGAGGGGGGCGTCGCCAAAGGCAGGCAGGTGTTCAGCCTGCGCAGCTGGGAGGGTGGCCGTTCGTCTGATGACAGTGGAGTCTGACCGTGTACCTTCCTGTGCGTGCACGAGATCCTTAGGGCTCGTGCCTGGGAGTGGAGCTGCTGGGTCATGGGCAGGCCCACCTTCCATTTTCCAATGAGGTGGTATCTATTTCTGCTCCTGCTGTCAGTGCATGTTCATCTGACCACACTGCTCATCCTTTTTCCCCATTTTTTATTTCTTGGAAGTAAATCTGGGCAGAGAAGAATAAGTTCAACGTCATTAGTCAGCAGGGAAGTGCAGGCAATCTGGGAAGACACACGTCGCGGTGTGCCTGAGATCACAGTGCAATGAGGGGTCAGCAGCAGACCAGCTAGAAACGTACCGGAAGTTCCAGGGGAGTGAGACAGCCGACGTGGCCTAGACAGAAGTGTGGAGAAAGTGTTCACCTTCCAGCTAAGGTGCCATGACACACCTACCACCGCGGCTACAGTTAACAAACAACAGAACGTTACAGGTGCTGGTGAGGGCAGTGCCGAGTGCTGGCAAGAATGTCCTCTCGTAAGCTTGATGGGAGTGTAGAGTGGCACAGCCACTTTGCTGACTAGTTTGGTACTTTCTTATTAAGTTCAACATATAGCTGCCGTATGACCCAGCATCTCAGTCCTAGGTATTTACCCAAGGAAAATGGAAGTTTATGTTTACACAGTACCTGTATGTGAACGTTAATAGCAGCTTTTTTCCAGTAATTGCCAAAGCTTGGACATCACCCATGCTCTTCAGCTCTCCAGGGGAGGGCCACTCAGGAGCGAAAGGAATGAACCGTTGATTGACACAACGTGATGAATCTTAGTTTCATCTTGCTTAGTGAGAAAAACTAAACCCAAGAGGCTTCATATTGTGTGATTCCATTTATATGACCTTCTGGAAAAAGAGGTGAAAAACAGACCAGTGGATACGAGGGGTCTAGAGGTAGGGGAAGGAGTTGATTACACAGATGGCAGGAGGCTTTTTGGGGAGTGGTAGAGCTGCCCTGTAGGGAAGGCGCCAGTCCCTTTACGACTCTGCATTCGTCAAAACCCATAGAGTTGTGCAGCATGAAAAGCAAATTTTGCTCTGTGTAAATCTTAAAAAAAAAAAACCAACCAGGATGTGTGTGACGGGGAGCTGCTCACCCAAATGATGTAAACTGTGACAGATGGATGTGATTGTGTTACAGACGAACCCCATAACCACACTGAGGTGGGTGTGGAAGAAAGGAGCTGAGCTGGGAACTTGGGAAAACCATGTTGACAGGATATTGTCAGGCTATAGACAGACACTCTAGGTGGTAAATGTGCTTCTCATGCCCCAGGGTGTGGGTTAGCAATTCTGAAACTACTTTATCATGTATACTAGGGTTAAGCAGAGTGAGTAAATAAATGCAGATAATGACAGCCAGATCTCTCACTTTGGAGAAGGAAGTCACAAAATCATGCTAGACTGTACCTTGTGGTGCTGGATTGGTGGTGGTGGTGTCAGTGTTACTCAAGCAGTTGTTGCTCTTGTGGGTGGGTGGGTGGGTAGATAGGGATCAGTGTGTAGGTGAATTAATATAACATGTTCCCCAGTTCTGTCTTCTGGGAGGCCAAGAGCGGTGGTGCCCCAGTAGCAATGAGCAGATGGAACACCAGGATCTTTGTTTTGAAGGGTTCCTGGGGAAGTGGTTGATTCCAGAGCTGGGGTACGGAAATATAAGGTGAGCCTAGAGCATCTTGTGGTGTCCAAAAGTAAGGAAATACTTAAAAAAAGGGGGGGGTTGCGGATGGGAATATGTCAGATGTCAAAAGGGCAGAGGCCAACCTGAAAGCAGTCCAGTGGCCAAAGCTGGAGCCATCTGAGCAAAAAGCAAATAATGGTGGTATTGGATTATAACTCAAAGGAGAAGATAAATACCCCTGAGTTTATGGGGATATAACACATGAATAAGTGGGGAAGAAGGGACAGCTCTTCCTGACAGAATAATTCCAGTTAGTGAATGTGGAAGGAATAGGGAAGTAGAGTGTCACCATTAGGACACCACAGTAATGATGGCTGCAGGCAGAGTCCACTGATAGATGCTGAGATTAGTGGGTGAGATGTTAAGGAAGAACAATATTTGCAAAGTATCCTCCAAAATATCTATGAATTCACAAAGGGAAAACAGTAGCTGTACAGTTGAGAACCCTGGCAGATCCCACCTTAACTGAATGATCCAGGTGACGTGACCAGGAGCAAGACACAGGGGCAGCGTGTACCCTGATCGCATAGGTCCGGATGGGGTCCTGGAACAGCGAAGGGCACCAGCGGGAGGCTGGCGAGACACAGGTCTGTGGGCGAGTCAGCGGTACTGTGCCAGCATCCACTCCT